AGCACGCTACCGCTTGAGCCACATCCCCAGCCCCAGCCCCTCAGATTTTAAAAGTAGCATCAAGTTAAGGAAAGGTCATTTTCCCACAGTTCAGTTCTCTGAAAAACTTCCATCTCCCACTGAAAGTCACAGTCCAGGAGTGAAGCAATCACATGCTAGAACTTCAAGGCCAACTGTGACAGAGACAGTGTTGTGGTTACTCCTGCTCTCCTTTCTGGAGGCAAGCAGTCAGGTGGCAGTGAAGAGCTACCAGGCAGAAACTTCTGAGCACATGAAAATGACTGCCTCTAGCATTGAAGATTTCAGGGTATGTTTGACATTCAAATTGGCTGATCTTAAATATTTATCACCACAGGCCTGAAAATGCACAGTCCTGAAAAAGGTGGCCTCTCTGTGTATACGTGTAATTTTTTAAAAGGAGAGGGCAATATGAAGGGAGCTGAGGTTTGATCACCAAAATATCAGCACAATGAAAACAAACAATAATGAATAATGAGCACTGAATTCAAATTACCAGATGTTTTAAAGAGATGGGTGTCAGTTTTCAATTCCATCTGAACACCACATTACAAAAGAACTGTTTTTAAAAATAAAAAAAGATTGAGGGAAAAGAAAAAAATAAAAGAATACGTAAGCCCTTTAATGACCCCATTTGTTCCTGATAAACTTCAATCACATCTTCTTCCTCCATTTGCAGTTCTTTTGGAGTTTCATTATCAGCAATTCTCTGACCTTCAAAGAGAAACTTGAGTGAATTCATTAGAACTTTCTGTCTTTGACAGTATGATTCTTGAGATGTGTTGTCATTTTCACTTTGAAGTGAATCTCACTGCTATCCTGTCCAGTGACTTTTAGTTTAATGTATTTTCTGCTTTCTTATCCCCCAAATCCTCAGTTGAAGGTTTTGCTTTCTGATGAGACATGGTGATGGTGGCTTCACCCTGGAGTCTCTGCACAGCAGCGACCTCAGGTACGCAGAATCTCTATCTCCCTTTCCCACAGCACAACACTGTGGCTGCAGGGACTTCTACTACACCTCCCTACCTCTCCAAAACTTTTGACTCTCCTTTCTGTTGTTATTTGGCACTGTCCACATTACCTTCTCAGAGCCTGCAGGATGTATTTGAAGCAGATGAGGAGGGAAAGGAGGAGSTACTGAATCAGACACTAAAAGAAAAGATCCTCAGTTTTTAAGTGAGTAGCCCTATAATTTGTCAAAAATGCTTACTACAGATTGTTTCCTTTACTGAGAAGAAAATCTGTGAGGTGAACAGAAAGCCTATATCCTGGGAGCAAATTTTTACCTCTCACACATCAGAGCACTAATCTCTAGGGTATATAAAGAACTCAAAAAGCTAAGCACCAAAAAACCAAATATCTCAATCAACAAATGGGCCAAGGACCTGAACAGACACTTCTCAGAAGAGGATATATAATCAATCAACAAATATATGAAAAAATGTTCATCATCTCTAGCAACTAGAGAAATGCAAATCAAAACTACTTTTAAGAYATCATCTCATTCCAGTCAGAATGGCAGCTATTATGAAGACAAATAACAATAAGTGTTGGCGAGGATGTGGGGAAAAAGGTACACTCATACACTGCTGGTGGGTCTGCAAATTGGTACAGCCAATATGGAAAGCAGTATGGAGATTCCTTGGAAATCTGGGAATGGAACCACCATTTGACCCAGCTATCCTTCTCCTCAGACTATACCCAAAGGACTTAAAAACAGCATACTAGGGACACAGCCACATCAATGTTTATAGCAGTATAATTCACAATAGCTAAACTGTGGAACCAACCTAGATGCCCTTCAGTAGATGAATGGATAAAAAAATGTGGCATTTGGAACTTTACTCAGCAATAAAAGAGAATAAAATCATGGCATTTGCAGGGAAATGGATGGCACTGGAGAAGATAATGCTAAGTGAAGTTAGTCAATCCCAAAAAAACAAATGCTGAATGTTTTCTCTGATACAAGGAGGCTGATTCATACTGGGGTAGAGAGGGGTAGCATGGGAGGAATAGATGAATTCTAGATAGGGCAGAGGGGTGAGAGGGAAAGGGAAGGGACAGGGGGTAGCAAGGATGGTGAAATGTGATGGACATCATTATCCAAAGTACATGTATGAAGACACAAATTGATGTCAACATACTTTATATACAACCAGAGATATGCAAAATTGTGCTGTTTGTGTAATAAGAATTGTAATGCATTCCACTGTCATTTATTTAAAAAAAATCAATTAAAAATGTTTACTATAGTTTGTTTAGTATCAGACACTTGTGAGAAGGAAACTGGCAATCACTGGCCTTTTTACCCATCAAATACCAGTTCCTACTGCTAGCAAGTTTCATTGACCACACATGACTTTTTGGATAGCCAGTTAGGTTAGCTGTTTAGGTTCTTTTGGATATTGAAAAAAAAAAATCTTTGTTTTTTCAGAGGTATAAAAGGATCTGAATGCTTAAGAAAATTTATAAGAACATGTTGGGAGAATAAGCTAC